TTTAGATTTTACTTGTCCAAAATTTACTTGCAATCTATGAGCCGTTAAGGTCTATTTTTGGTTCAGTACATATCATATTACCAGGAGCGTATAATAATAATATAGAGATCTATATAATATTATTATATATATATTATTATATATATATAAATATATCTAAATATATATATATATAATCTATATATTATATATAGAGATATATTATATCGATATTATACACTCCTGATATTACAATATATACATGGAAAATCGTAATGAAATTCACACAACGTTTATATTTGCGTGCCAGCACGCTCATTGTGTGTCATTCTCGATTGCAGCTTTTCCTCAATTCCAGGAAAGAATTTTGCTGTCGTCCTCTCGTCCCAGCGGTGGCCAGTCCCACTGGCAGTTCCAACAAATCAGTAAAAATAAAAATAACGTATAATAAATCTTATTGCACCACTAATAACTCCTATCTGCGGTAAACAACTCCTCACTGCAAAAGAAAAGCCTAACGTTGGCGCGAATGCTGACTCTCTGCACTACGCTGCGTACTCCCCATACATAATCCCCATGTCATTATGGCTGAGACATGTGTTTATAATAGCTAGAATTTATAGAAATCGTTCGCGCCATATGATAGTACACTTTCCTACCAGTATAGCATATGCGGCAGGGTATGCAAAATGAAAACGAAACGTCACAAATTCTATTTTTATCCTCCAATCACAGGTCGGAGCAATTCTTTTGTTTAGACGCATGTCTTTGTCTCTGTCATTCCATATTAGAATTCTCTCCCTTCTGCTTTAGGTAGTTGCAATTTTGAGGCTTTTTCTACTGCGATCTGCAGTGTTGATCCATCTTCAGCATAACTGAACCACTGGTGCGTTTGTAGCCATGGCCCCATCTTTGTAGCATATACCTTGTTACGTCCGGGGCAGTGACATGCAGTGTTGCAGTGCGTCAATAATGATATTTATTTCGACATCTTTTTCTCAGCAGGAGAGCGTAAGCAAGAGGCTCGAAATCCCACAAAGCGATCTGTCTGATGGAGCCTTCTCGTTCAGATATGCCACGTCCGGGAGGAGAGAATTCCTACCTGTGCGATGTGTGTGGATACGCCAGCTCCAAGCTAGATCGTCTTAAGAATCACATGTTCACTCACACGGGAGAGAAGCCATTTGCGTGCGACACTTGTGAACACATGTTTAGGAGCTGCAGTGATCTCAAGAGACACATGCGTACACACACTGGGGAAAAGCCGTATGCGTGCGACACGTGTGCGTACATGTGTGTGACGCCTGGTAGACTTAAGCTACACATGCGCACTCACACGGGAGAAAAGCCGTATGTGTGCGATATATGTGAACACAGATATACGACCCTCAGTAGTCTCAAGGTGCACATGCACACTCACACGGGAGAGAAGCCATTTGCATGTGACACTTGTGAATACATGTGTAGGCTTTCCACTGAGCTCAAGAAACACATGCGCACTCACACAGGAGAAAAGCCATATGTGTGCAATATATGTGATCACAGATATACTACCCTCGGTAGTCTCAAGGGACACATGCGCACTCACACGGGAGAGAAGCCATTTGCGTGCGACACTTGTGAATACATGTTTAGGAGCTGCAGTGATCTCAAGAGACACATGCGTACACACACTGGAGAAAAGCCGTATGCGTGCGACACGTGTGCGTACATGTGTGTGACGGCTGGTAGACTTAAGCTACACATGCGCACTCACACGGGAGAAAAGCCGTATGTGTGCGATATATGTGAACACAGATATACGACCCTCGGTAGTCTCAAGGTGCACATGCACACTCACACGGGAGAGAAGCCATTTGCATGTGACACTTGTGAATACATGTGTAGGCTTTCGACTGATCTCAAGAAACACATGCGCACTCACTCAGGAGAAAAGCCGTATGTGTGCGATATATGTGATAACAGATATACTACCCTCGGTAGTCTCAAGGTACACATGCGCACTCACACGGGAGAAAAGCCGTATGTGTGCGATATATGTGATCACAGATATGCTACCTTCCGTATTCTCAAAGTACACATGCGCACTCACACAGGAGAGAAACCATTTGCGTGTGAGAGATGTGAATATAAGTGTTCTACGTTCGGTATGCTTAAGCCACACATGCGCACTCACACGGGAGAGAGGCCGTATGCGTGCGACAAGTGTGGATGCAAGTTTGCTGCCCGCAGTTCACTGACTAGACACCGGCGCACTCACTCAAACCCGAGCGAGTGATACACGCATCTATGCAGGGCGAATACAGAAACTAGGACTTACATCAAATCGTATAGCATGACAGTATCACATCGTCTAAAACAATCCTGCTGCCTGCAAATTTTTTTCGAAATTGTCATTTCTTTCTGTACATCTATTGCCATAAATACAAACGTCACATATTGGTATGTACTTATAGATTGTGTGTTTTATGTGGGCACATGTGGTGGTGTGGGGGCTGCACGTGTGAGTGCGCGCGCACGTGTGTGCATGTGTGTGTGTGCGCGCAAAATCTCTTAACAACCTCGTGATGAACTGCGAAAGGATATCCGATTACAATCCTATTGTCTATCAGCGGAAAATCGCTGAGATAGACTGGATCCACGTACTCGACGTGCCGGACCGCTGCGCACTCGCATGTGACGGACAGTTCTGCGCAGAGAACTTCACGCCAGTCTAGATTCTGCATGTATATGCAGTAACCTTTCCGGTCGCGGGAAGGTGAGAGTAGGACCCTCAGGGGGGAGCACTCCCTACAAAATAGGGTAGGTATGTGCCACTTGAGAGATGGAATAGGGGGTTCTCCGGTATTAACTCAGCACATCAAAATGCGCGTCTCCGGAACTAGGGTTTGCTGGAAAGCATGATGCTCCGGAACTGTACATGTTTGCGAGAGGGGGTCTACGGAACGTGCGGAAAAAAGTAGGACCTATGCTCCGGGACGGGAAATGTGTGAATATGGGTTTCTCATTAGTTCTGTTTTTAAGACTTTTGCTTCTATATATATACAAAGACGCGTTCTATATATATATATATATATATATATATATATATATAATATATATATATATATATTAGT